GCCTCGCCCGTCTGGCGTAATAGGCCAAAAAAGGGTTCAGGTACTCACGCGTGTGTTCTTTGGGGTTTAAAGGTGACAGGAGAGGTTTGTTATTGGTTCTCTCTAGATATGTCTGTCTGTCTGGTTCTCTCAGTCGCTCGTTCACTTACTTTCCCTCTCTCTCTCTCTCTCTCATTCTCACACTTACTCTCCCTTTACCCTCTCTGCCTGTCTCTCTTCCACCCTGCCTTTCTTCCGATTACTTGAGCTCCCCCCCCCTCCCCCATCGGTACACACACAGCCTGAGAGGCCAGATGCAGGAGGTAAACAAAGCCTTGTCTCCGCCAGTACCTTATTCGCCCTGTCTATTGACTTGTCAGCAGCAGTCAGCGTGGAGTGCAAGTGTGCTGACAGCGCTCCTGCCGATTGTTGCTTAAATTTCCCGAATTTAGATCCCTGTGTTGTTGGTAGTCTCCGCGGCGCCCGACTCTTCCGCCGACGTCGAGGAAGCACACTGCAAGTCCTTCGCTTCTCTGACGAGCCCGACGGCTTAATCCTTTTCGTTCTGGACGCCGCCCCAGGCCCTCGCGCAGGTCGGACGGGACGCGGAGACCCAGGAAATCGGTCGTGTTTGCGGCTGTTTGACGCCGAGGTCGTCCATCTCCTCGAAGTCAAGGAGGACCCTCGTCCCCCTCCCGCGTCCCGCCTCATTACGCTCGCTAAACAAGCCGGAGGAAGACGAGCTCTCCACGCCTGTTGTTTCCCACACACGGCGACGGAGAGGGACCGGGGACAGAGGAGAGAGGGAGAGATAGAGATAGGGGGGAAGAGAGAGAGACAGACAGACAGATAGGGAGGGAGATATAGACAGAGAAAGAAAGAAATGGGAAGGATAAAGAGAGAGGGAGATAGGAAGGGAGATTAAGAGAGAGCGAGAGTGCGCGTGAGAGAAGGAAGGGGAGGACAAGGATTGCGTGTTGGGACTCGAACTAAAACACGTTTTTTCGATGATATAGAACATTGCGGTACTTTACACGGTATCTGTGTTTGTGTGAAGTTCAGACGTTATTAGATAGCAGAGCCTCATATTACTTGAACGGGGAAGATTTGGATTCAGGTCTTTGTTCATATTCTAGATAACAATATATTCACTAATTTCTATTTTATGAATAGGTGAAATGGACGAGCATCGATTCGCTTGTCGTAAATTCGCGTTATAAAACCCACCTTGGTGTTTCTTATTCTTTTATCTTTAGGTGTTTTATTTAACACCAACAGCAAAGGAAGGAACGAACGAACAACAGCAAAGGGAGGAACGAAAACAGGATAAAAAAGAATAGTTTGTATAGCGCTCGGGTCCCAAGGTAAAGAAAGGGACCCGCGTAGAATGCACGGAGCCTCAGTGTTTGACATGAGAATGAGTACTACAGCAGCCTTTACTCCCCCTCGTCACGTCTTACACCGGAAACAACCCCAAAGGCAAACAAACGAGGAAACAAAAGACAGACAACTCGACGGCGAGGCACCTGTGCCTTCTCATTCCCCATCTGGAGGGTCTAGTCGCTTAGAACTGCGGAGACTCATTCCTCGCATTCTCTATTCGGGCGCCTTGAATAGCCCCTTCGAACTTCTTTTGATATTTGTAGAAATGGAGAACACCGTCTCTCACCCGAGAGATAATTAAGGTGTCTCCCGCCCGCCCTACACGCACCCCAGGAACCCCTTTTCTCGTGCGACTTGAATGGCGTCGGACCCGCCTCTCCTGCCATTGACTTTGCTCGCAGGATTCCCCCCAATGGCCCAGACACTCTCCTTCTCCTCTCCCCTGCTGTGAGGACCATGGGATTCCTCTTGTTCCTCGGGTCGTCCTCTTTGTCAGGGATTCCTTGGACCACCTCCTCGCTACCTGGTGGCCCGAGATCGAAAGTTGTTCGACTGGTTTTACAACGAGTGAACGATTGTGGGAAAATTCTCTTTGGTATCCCCTTAGGAGACTTCAAAGAAAATGGGGGGAAATATTCTTAACATTGAAAATGGGAAGTGACTTTGGCTTGCTTTCTCTTAATCTTCCTTCGTGAAACAGGTTTGGGGATACAACAATGGCAAGAGATTAATTGTTCTTTGCTTATAATTGAATTTCTCTAAACTGCCCGCGTATTGCTCTTCCCAGGAAGGAAACCGTATTTCCAAGAAAAGAAACATTTACGAATTGTATATTTAATTTTCACCCTATCATTTCCTGGCATAATCCACTGTGATTCATTATGTGGGATACGTATGTTGAATACTCCACACACACACACACACACACTGGATATGCGCGTGCTTGGGAGTGTTTGCGCGATGTGTGTATATGTGTGTGTGTATACATACATGTATATATGTGCGTGTTGCGTGTGTTCGTTCGTTCGCGCGCACACCCGGTCGCCCACAAGCAAGCGAAGCCTTCCCTGGAGCCTCTCCCACACACACCCTCTCTCTCGCCCGCCGACATAGCGTGGCGGACCGACATAAATCTGCTGCCGCGGACCTCGTGAGCTTCTGCCTCCTAAAGCACGACGAGGCAGCCGAGGCGGACGACGGAGGCCCTTCCTTCGCGCCCGAGTCCGCCGCTCGCCTCCAAGAAGGACCTCGACTCCTGCTCCTCCGCCCGGCCGGTCTTGGTGTGGCGCGAGTCCTTGGTTTTTCATTCATTCATTCATTTTTTTTTCGTTTATGCATTTTATTTGTTCCATTTTGTTCGGTGTGTGTTGTGTTTTTTTGGTATTTTTCCTTTATTTAATTTCGTTTTGTGCGCCGTAAGAATGGAAACAGTGAGGAGCTAGCGATAAGAAAGCAGGGAGGTGATGCCAGATAAGAAATAACTTATAAATACGTTCTAACCTTTTGCTAACTCCGCCTTCGTGCTCTCAAAATAGGACATAAAAACAGATGAAGCGAAAGAAAAGGGATAAAGAACCGAGATAAGAGAGAAAAGCAATAATACAACAGTAATTACATACGTTTTAGCTCTCGTGTTCTGAAGGTGTGGCCAGAAGGAGGTCTTTTGTTCCCCCGTGGGAGCCGAGGTCAAAGGTCAGGCGGAGGAAACAAGGTCGAGGTGTGAGGGAAGGGCGGAGAAGCGAGAAAAGGGAGAGAGAGAGAGAGGGAGCCGATAACAAGGGGAAAAGAGCAAGATTTTGCTGGGTTTCTGCGTGAGTTTTGACTAGATTTATAGAGAGGGAGGGAGATAGAAGAGGAGGGAGGGAAGATAGACAGACAGAGATATATATAGATAGGGGAGTAGGAATAGACAGATAGATGATAGGGAGGGAGGGGAGGGAGGAGGGAGGGAGATAGACAGATGGGTGTAATGACTCTTATGTGAGGAGATATATAACAATGTTTAATGTTCTTAATCTTAATATCCTTTCGGCACAGATAATTAAATAGGTTGGCAAGTAGGTAGTTAGAAAGGTAGTAAGTAGGTAAACAGATAAACAGACAGATAAAATACATAGACATATAAGATCACTCTTGTGTTAAGTAGATATACAGCGATAATGATACTAGTTACAACGATAATGTTAGTGATAATAATGCTATTACAAAATGACGGTCCTCATCGGAGCGTGGGTGACGCGGCTGTGTTCCCGCCCCCTAATCGCCATGCACGCCCACCCCCTCCCCCTCCACCCTCCCCCACCCTACCTCTCTCCCCCCTTCCCTTCTTCCTCCCCTTGTCCTTCCACCCCCCCCCCCCCCCCGGCGCATGACACAGCCCGGATCAATTTAGCGATAAAGGCCAAATTACAGGGTGGTTCCGGCTCTCCTTCGCCTCTCCTCTCCTCATTCATCACGCTGCTCATTGTATCATTTATTTCTCTTTACACTGACAAACGCCTGCCTGACGTTTTCCATTTGATGGTGTCATGCGGGTTGTCATGCAGAAGGGTCATGCGCTTGTTCATGCGGTTGAGGGGGGGGGGGGGGAGGCTTAGCTCAGAGGCTTCATTTCTTTTTTTTTTCTTTTTTTTTTTGTGTTTTCTGTTATGATTTTCGTTTTTTTTGTGTCGTCTGATTTTTTTTTCTTCTGTTTACCCCTCTCTCTTCTTTCTATCTCCTCTCTTTCTCTCTCTCTCTCTCTCTCTCTCTCTCTCTCTCTCTCTCTCTCTCTCTCTCTCTCTCTCTCTCTCTCTCTCTCTCTCTCTCTCCTCTCTCTCTCTCTCTCTCTCTCTTCTCATTTCACTTTCTCTTTTCCACGAGGACACCAAGACCATTTCCCTTTCCCTTCACTTCCCCACTTACCCATTCCTTTCACCCCCTCTTCCTTCCTCTCCTTCTCTTCCTCCCTTTCCTCATTCGCCTCTTCCCCTCGTCTCCCTCTCTCCACCCGTTCCTCTTTCCATCCCCCTTCTCTCTAATCCCTCCCTTCACCCCTTTTTCTTCTTTCTTCTCCCTTCTTTGTCTTTGCCTCCTCCCTTCTTTACCCCCTTTCTCCTTCCTTCCAACCTCCCTTTCTCTCCCTCCACCCACCCCCCTCTTCTTCATAGGAGGAGAGGGAAGGGGGGGAGGGGCGGAGACACAGTGCAGATCCGCGTGGAATCGCCGCTTTCTGGCGCCGGGAAGCGTTTAAACGCCTGTTACTCGGCGGCCAATTCTGCCTTGTCATTCACTCATTAGCGGGGCGCAAGGCAGGTAGTTGCGTTGTTTTTTTTTCGTTCCCTTTTTTCTTGTTTCTTGTTTTTTTTCTATTTTTCTCTCTCTTTTCTCCTTCGTGTTATTCTTTGTTTTTTTTTTGTCTCTCTCTAAATGTAATAGAGTCTTTGAGATCGCGTGGGAACCGTGAGTCTTTGTTACGAAAGACAAGAGAAGATCTTAAAAATAAAGTTTAAAAAGAAAGGAAATGATAAAAGAAGGAAGAAAAAAAAAACGAATATACGGTTCTTATCATTATCATCCATTCTATCCTTCTTTTCCTTTGTCGCTCACGTCCCTCTGGCCCCGCCCGGTTTTCTCATCCCTTTTCTCCTTCCCTTCAGCTTCGACGGCACCAAGTCCACCAAGGGCGCCTCGAAGATGCGGAGGGACATGATCAACGCAGAGATCGGGCAGCTGCGGGACCTCCTGCCGCTGCCGCCGTCCACGCGCCAGAGGCTGTCGCAGCTGCAGCTCATGGCCCTCGTCTGCGTCTACGTCAGGAAGAGCAACTACTTCCAGCAAGGTAAGGAGACACTCCTCCGGGTCAATGGTTTTTTGGCTGTTTTTAAAGTGTGTTTGAAGTTTCTTTGGAGAGATAGGGGTAAGATAGATTGAGAGAGAGAGAGAGAGAGAGTGGGTGAGTGAGTGAGTGAGAGAGTGTGTGTGTATGAGTGAGTGTATGTATAATTGTGTACGCCTGTTTGTATGTGTGCGTGTATGAGTGGGTGGACGACCTCTGCGCCCGCGGTCGCCGGACCCTTCCTCTCCGGTCGTCTTGCTCCTCTCCATCCCCGCGATCACACGCCGCGCGCACGCGAATCCACATAAATAGTTTAGATAAAAAGGCCGAGCGATTTTCACCCCGCGAGAAATAATTAGAGGAGGATTGAGAAGAAGATCTGAACGTGTAATTAAGAGCGAGTTTCAGGCTCGGTCGTGACGGACCCAGAGCCCGGCCAGAGTACGAGGCTCCTCGCGCTCACAAGCCACCTGTTGGGTGCTCTCTCTCTCTCTCTCGCTCTCTCTCGCTCTCTCTCTCTCTCTCTCCTCTCTCTCTCTCTCTCTCTCTCTCTCTCTCTCTCTCTCTCTCTCTCTCTCTCTCTCTCTCTCTCTCTCTCTCTCCTCTCGCTTTCTCTCTCTCTCTCTCTCTCTCTCTCTCTCTCTCTCTCTCTCGCTCTCGCTCTCTCCCTCTCTCTCTCTCTCTCTCTCTCTCTCTCTCTCTCTCTCTCTCTCTTCTCTCTCTCTCTCTCTCTCTCTTCTCTCTCTCTCTCTCCCTCTCTCCCTCTCTCCCTCTCTCCCTCTCTCTCTCTCTCTCTCCCTCCCTCCCTCTCTCTCTTCTCTCTCTTCTCTCTTCTCTCTCTCTCTCTCTCTCTCTCTCTCTCTCTCTCTCTCTCTCTCTCTCTCTCTCTCGTGAGATTACATTGGTATAGAGAAAAATACAACAATACCTAAGAAACTCATTTTCAATCTTCCTATTTATTTTACCTTTCATCGCTATTCCTCTTTTTGATGTACTTTTTTTCCTCCTTCCCTCGTATCTTCTGTCGCGTTCCAATCTACTCTTATTTTGTGACGCCGTTCAAGGAAGTACATTCCCCAGACACACTGTACCCTGGAATATCGGCAAAATCCCGCGTTAACTCCACGCAAAGGCCTTTTCTCACGTCCTCGTTCCTTTTACAGCAACAGACAGTAATATTTCGCTGCACAACACCAACACACGCAACGCAATACCTGGTGCAGCAACACGGACCCGTAAATTGTGATAATTCCCCACAGCACGTAGAGAACTGCATCCCACAACGAGACGCTCTGTCCCATAGCAAGCCGCCCATCCACCACGCCCGCAATGTGGTTCTTCCCACAGCACTCCACTTCCTACTGCGTCGTTCCACACACAGTCCTCCACTTCCCCCGACGCAGATCCACCCACAGCATAGGTCCACCCACAGCACTTCCACCCACTCTCCCCTTCCCACAGTCCGCTTCCACCCACGATCCTCCCCTTCCCACAGCACGGGCGCTCTCCTCGGCCGTAAATTGCATATCGTCGGCCATTTTTCCAGCAGTCGATGGCTGGACGAATTGGCCCTCCTCGAACTCGGCTTTTAAGGGCGGTAATCCCAGCGTGTTGACAGGTGATTATAGACCATAAAGACCCACGGTGTGGAGCGCATTACTAACACCAACTGCCAATAATTTTACAAACAACGAAAACGCGACGGCTTCTACAACCTCGAGAGGGGCGATAATCCGGCAGGACGTAACGGAATACTCGCCCTAATTGCTGGCCGAGTTTGGCGCTCTCTTGTCCCGCCCAACCCATATTTTGCCTTGACATAATAATAGTGATTAAGTCGCAGATCAAACGCGCCCGCGGCCTCGGCTCCCCGGGCGAGGCGCGCTGTTGTCCGCGAAGGAGGCGGCGGCGTGGGCGGCGCGGCGGCGGCGGCGGCGGCGGCAGATGCGCAGATGCGGCGCGGAGATAAGGCGGAGCGAGGGAGGGCGGCCGTTATCATGGTTTTCGTCGCTCGGTCACAGACGGAGACGACGCAGGAGAAAAAAAGCGATAAGAAGAGCAGGGACAAGGAAACGGACAAATGGGCATCAATGCCTCTCCAGGCTCGCCATGCCGGTGCCAGGCCTCGTTCGCAAAGGCGTGTTGTGTGTTGTGTGTGATTATATATATATATATATATATATATATATATATATATATATATATATATATATATATATATATATGTATGTATATATAAATGCTTCTCTCTCTCTCTCTCTCTCTCTCTCTCTCTCTCTCTCTCTCTCTCTCTCTCTCTCTCTCTCTCTCTCTCTCTCTCTCTCTCTCTCTCTCTCTCTCTTTCAATCTCTCCCTCCCCCCCCTCTCCCAGGGCTTCGACAGCATGTAAATGGCCTCCGACATGGGGCTCCAACAGCCACCTCCTGCGGCAAATACACTTACATAACCAAACATGTATACCTATGTACGCAAACTCTTGCACTCGTACTTACATGTCGGAACACATGCACTAACACACACGTATATTAATAGACGTATTAATAGGCCTGCAGATACACACATATAAATACTTTCATACAAACACAGGAACACACACACATCATCATCTTCATCTACTGTATTAAGCATAAGTACATCTACGCACACAGACGTATCCTCACACAATCAGCATACACGCAAGCATACTCCACAAGCAGCATACACAGACATACACAAAGCGGGGGGGGGGGAGGTGGAGGCCTCTTGTTTAACATACTGTCATCATTAAAGGAGAGGTTGAAGGCCCTCCCTCGCTCTTCTTTCTTTCCTTCTCTTCGGATGATGGATGGTACAAGTTGTTCAGATGGTTTACGAGAATGTGTGCTTCAGGTGTGCACATATTTGATTGCCTCTGTGTGTGTGTGTGTTGTGTAAGTGTATGTGTGAGTAAGAGAGAGATGGCTGTGTTCTGTCGTGTTTATGTGTATGTGTTTGTTTGTAAGTGTGTGTGTGAGAGAGAGAGAGAAAGCGTAAATAACAGTTAGTTGTGTATTGCCTTGTTTATGTGTATATCGGGAGGGTGGTCGTGTGTGTTTGTATGCTTGGAAAGTAAATAAATAAATTAATAGATAAATAACGAATTAATTATCTAATTCACTGTATTTACTTTGATTTGTAAGCCTATAAATTACGACGAACTTTTCTTTTCTTTCAGTGTTCAAACAACAGGACCAAAACCTCAGTCCGACGCCCAACATTGGATTCTCGAAG